CGCACGGGCACGAATCGGTTTGCTGTGATATGAATGCCATGGCGTGTTCGCGCTGCGATGCCAGTTGCTGGGTGGCGGTGGTCATCGCAAGTGGCTCCGAGTAGTTCCGATGTATGCTTTAGCCGCTTACAGGGCAAGGGGCACGTCGAGTGCTAGGTACGGGGCCGTGCACGTCCGCGGCCAGTAGTAAGCTCCGAGCCACTAAGGGGGCGACCTAGCATGTACTCGACGATCCGGAAGCGCAGCAACACGCGATTCTAGGGTATGCATGCGTCGACCTGCTTCTGGATATAGATGTGTTCTGCTTGGTATTGTGTTTGTGAGGGCATGTTACATCGGCCGTTGTGGTGGCAGGGGCGCGTTGAAGTCCAGAGAGCCATTGTGGCATGTATAGGTTACTAAAAGCTGGTAAAGCACGTCGTTTGTTTAATTATTTATACCCAACTTGCGCGAGAGAGTCAGTAGTGCTACCGTCGTCGACCATATGTTGGCGCTAGTAATGGCGAGACATCTTTTGAACCACGGGAAGTAAGTTTTCACTTGTGGAACGGCGACGTAGTGCTGTTGTACTATAATCGCGAACTGTTCATTGTATCTTCTACAGCATCTTCTGAGACACACAGAGGAGCCCGATAACCAATGGCAAGGAAAGTGCGAGTAGCGACACTCACAGAACTTGGTTTCTGATAGGGCGCCGGGCTGGACATCTCCGATGCTTGGATTGGTCCTGATGTGATGAGTTATTATAGCGGCGAGACTTGTCTGGCACAAGTGGCGGCGTGTTCGACGTGCTGTGTGGCTGCGAATATTAATGGTGAAGTGCGCGGCCAGTGGCTGTTGGCACACGGGACCACAACGGTTGGTACACCCCCCCTCCAAGAGCAGGATCCACACCCAACAGTGTCCTGCCTGGTGACGAGCAGAGTTGCAAATAATAGTAAAGCAGGCCGCCCCCCAACATTCTTGCATCTGCGGACCCAAACTTTTCAATCTCACTCACCTCTTCTACCCGCGCCTGGCTGCGCCTTGTTCACGCTCTCGCACTCTCCCGTCGGACACCCCCCGTAAAAATATCACCCAGCTTCTTCAAGTTTTCTCTGGGTCCGAAATGGAACATTTAAGCGTAAGATAAAAAATACCCATTATAATTAATGTCCTTATATCTTGATAGTGAGAAGGTTAACTCAGTTAGTAATAGCCTTGATCATAATTTGATTGGGGGTCAAAATCGTATCGCACTAATCGCCTATCGTAAAATGTTAAACGAGCTGCTGGGGAAAGTCGTCCGCAATTGTGGATCAGAAAGCAGTTGACTTTGGAGATATTAATCAGCAGCGTTCACTACCCAATTTACACTGCCAGCGCAGTCACGCGTGAATCTTCTACAGCCAATGCACGTCATTTCTATTTACTAACTGGTTGTCTAGTCGCTTTCCCGGACGCGAATGTGCCATGGCACCTTGTAAGGGTGCTTTTTACCTGTGTACTGCACAGCCATTGCCATTGGCCATTTGCCATGATAGACAAAGTGTGTTTATTATAACTACCAGGCGATTATAGACTGGTTGTACTTGAGGCCGCACAGTGCCGAGGGTCGGGAGGCCTCTGACCGACGCTTATTATCGTCTGGTGCGAGTCTGTTATTTTAAAAATTGAATGTACTGATAAGATATCCGTGTATATGATACGTTATGTAATTCTGCTCGGTCCCTTCTTAGAACTAGATTGTTGCGTCTATTGAGCAAGGATGTCGTTCGGCGCGTAGATGTCACGGTGTAGGGTATCACTACCACGTGTTCGATTAACACCGTGGTGCAGTCTAATGTGGTCGTTAGTGCCGAGCCACCCTAGCGGCAGCGCCTACGCGTAGCCTATCTCCTTCGGCCATCCCTGTCACATGTTTTGTGTTTGTAATCTATTCCAGCGCTGCGTTCCATCGCAAACACAATGTAATTCGATTAGCCGCGACCGCGAGTAACGTCATGTCGCTGGATTGCATTGAAATTTTTATTCTGAAAGTTCGATTCAAGGTCGAACAGTAAGATTTCCATCCTACATAGTCATACTCGATCTTCACTGCCGGACGTTTTCGAGCAGTGCGACAAAGCGTGTTGATTTTCAACCGCCACCACAACGGCAAGAGTCGGCTGATTGCGGTGATCTGCGCCAGAACGAACAGAATCGTTAATTCCACATGAAAATTACGAATGTGAAGCTTTGCCAATAGAACTGTAATCCGTCAACCAATATTTAATTATGAGCCTACCTGTATGGCACGTGTACTCTGAGTCGTATATGGGTTTTGAAATGTTTGAACGGTATGGTAATACGTGGTTGGCCGAATGGACAGAGTGTGATTCACTCTGCTGAGGGCTGCAGGCTAGGTCCTTGGTTTGCAGCTGGTAATCACGGAGAGGCGCAGGTTACAGTATGTCTGTACAGTTTAACGACTTAAACAATTGGTTGACGAATAGAGTTGGTTATCCTGTTATGGGATCAGGCGTTAGTGGATCCTTGGCGCGGGCACAGGCGTGTTTTAGTCTGTTGCCGATACAGCGATGGATCTGGTGTGGTTTATGTATATTTTCTTCACGTCCTCGTCGAACCGAATCATTCCATTTTAAACCGTTCGAGAGGATTGTTACTGATTTTACAGTATGTGCTAGTGTGACGCCCATGTATATTCCTAAGAGGAGAAGAGAAAATAGAGGAAATTTGATAAAACTCAGCTCCACAAACAGCGCTTGTATTGCCTGTGTGTTTATATATTACATTTATAGGATTTTATTCCGGTTGGCTATATGTTATTTATATACTTAAATAGATATTAATGTATATATGTGATAGTAAACTTTGTGAAAACACTATCTGGTCGTACATAATTGATTTCTGTACCGCTGCTAGAACTTTTGGATAGGAAAAGTGTAAAGTATGTGAGAAATGACAACACACAAACACTAGCTACATTGAGAGAAATTCCCTCTTCACCTGTTACTCACTGACATCATCTGCATAAGTAAGTTTACTATTCAGGACAGCTTACCCATATGTCATTGTCTGTCTGTCCCATAGCGGTTCGGTCCCAGAAAACTTTTTCCTGGAGGTGGACTGTCACGCTGAAATCCTCGAAAGCCGGAAATATAAATCACAATAAACTATACAAAGCAACCAAACTGCATGTACAAGCCGCGCTGATTAACCAGCATCCGTGCAAACATGCTTCTCTTAACAAATTACCCGCCCCTCGAGACATGGGTCCACGAGGGAGCAACAATGAAATGACCACACACCATCACCCATACCCAGGTTCCTTGGTTGAAGGCAGAGGATCTGGAAAGATTAATAGTACAGCCAGGCCTGGAACAGAGATACCAACAGTATGGAGCTTGATGATGAGGATGATTGCATCCAACGACTCGAGCGAGTTTATAGATATTGTCGGCAATGGGTGTTCGCGTCTCATACGATGGCGTAAAGCGAGTCACTGAGATGTGGTCATGCTATGCAATGAGGTGAGATATTCCATCTGCAAGCTCATACCACCTGTGATAGAAACCTTTTTCGTCGCATTTTAAAATATTTTTTTAATATTTTTTTTTTACTTGTTTATTGCAGAACAGAACATTTCAGTTCAACTCATTATTTTTTTTGGTAGTCATTATTATTTACTTATTTTAGTTATGATTATTTATTCATAATTATTTATCGGAGTATGTGTGGCAATTGCCCGAAAAACTGGTAAAGGTGACCTTGATCCGCTTCGTTAATTAAGCACCGAAATCATCTGGATTAAAAAGGCAGGCTGGCGAGATACCACCCATCCTCCGCGGTCTGCCCAGTTATGCTACTCCCTCCGATGCTATCCTCGGGAGACTATCTCATCACCATCCGCCCACGGGGCCCGTCGGGCCGCGGACTAGCTATGGCGGACACATTGCGTGTCTGTACTTAGATTATTCAAGAGGAGGTCAAAATAGATGCGGAGGAAACGCCTCCCATCGTCTCCAAATCTGCCAAGCCGCTTCTCTGGATTCGATGCGCGAGACAAGTACCCTCTACATTCTCTACCAATGCTGGACCCACAGGGGACGCCAGCAAAGGAGGGTTACCTCATCTATTAAAACTACTTAATAAGACGAGTAAGTATGGGATGCAGTACCTATGAAAACTGGGATGTCTGGTATTCTTGTGAAGCTAGAGGAGGACTGCATAGGATATTGGTGCAAGCAAATAGTGATAACTCTTCGTTCCCCTCAAAAGGCAGAGGGCCAAGTAAGAATACTATAATGCAGTGGTAACCCTGGCCAAAAAGGCTGTTGAGGTGGTAATTTTGTGTTGTTGGTGTGTCGGAGTTTTCGAGGGTGCGCTAGCAAAGCGATATTTTGGGGCCCGCTCCCGGGCCGCCTCAGGAATTTGTTGTTGGAAAGAAAGTTGGTGGTCAGATTTGGTGGCATTTCTTAGAGGTATACTGTGCGCATGTTTAGGTTCGAATAGATAGTCGGTATTGTAATTGATGGAAGAGCGACAGGGATTTCGTCAGCCGAGGGGCGGTGTTCCTTGGACAAATTTCGTGTGTGCGTCGGTCTGGAGAGGATGTTTTGATCGAGGCGGCCCGGCCCTCCGCTCGGTTCAATGTCAGGGTAAAACACTGCTATGATTTGTTAGGATGGATCTGACTGAACTCCCGTACGCTGCACGTGGACAAGCTTATGTGAGATTACCATAAATAAAGAATGAACTTCCCAAAGACCATTCTTCTTGAGACATTCCGGCTTTCTTGTTCAGGTATCTTATCACCTCTGGGCTAGGTGACATCAGTGGCGCTACCAACTGCTTCTAAACCGACTTAGAAACAATATCCTTTTTCTATGACCAGTAAAATCACAAGCACCTGAACAAATATCAGCCTATGTGTATTTATTTGCTCCATCCATTTTCTTCAACTAGACATGACTAGAAGGTTCCAATCAACTGCACTACGCCATTGTTCTTCCCCCAAGTGTCCAAATCGCCAAGTTCATTCTAATATACAATTCATCAGCTGTACGCTTTGGCTAACCCGTGGTTGATTTCCGTATGCCACAGGTTCCGAAAGGATCGTTGTCGTGGATGGCGCCGTGCGCTCCGTATGGCTCTGTAATCTAACAGCTCGTTCTCCTCGCAATTCGTTAACGATGGTGTTGTGCGCTTCACTCGGCCCGTGTCGGCAGCCGTCCCTGGGAGAGCACCTGCAGCTGGATGCTGTCATGCTCCGTTTGATACCCCGTCGGAGACACCACACATCACCGTTCTTGCCAGAAATGCGATGGCCACCGCTAGATCCCAGGTCATATCTGGTGCCGGCAGTAATAAGAAGTATTGTCGCCTGATGGAAAGGATAACACGACCGTATGATATGCACAATCAACAGTAAGGTTTATTGCCATGCCAGGTTTTGCAGCGAATGTTCACACCCTGGGCGACTATAGCATGTATGGCTGTGGGTGAAGTACCAATGCTGCATTGGCATATGCGTTGAAACAGTATTCTGTAACTTGGGTTTTTGTGCCCTACAATCCATGATTATGCTGGTGGGGGAGTGCAGTGGACTGCCCCCTGCTGCTGCTGGCTGTACAGGTGCTGTCGATAGCGAGCTCGGGCAGCGTTGGGGACGTCCCAGCGGTGCGAGCGAGAGAGTCTTCTAGAGGATGCATGCTTGCGCAGGTAAGAGACTCCAGGCTGTGGCGCCGGGGGGAAAAAGAAAATTTGCTGCCCGCGTAGTATAGATCTCGGCGAGCAGCGGCCCACAGGCCCCGTACTGACTGCCAGTCAGCAGGAAGGCACGCAGATGGGCAGGAGATGCGTCTGCTGCTAGGGCATAGGCCCCTAACCAGACGGCGCAGAGGTCAAATTACTCAACGAAAATCCGCCGCACACGTGAGTAAAATGACGCATGCGTCAAATTACTCAACAAAATTCCGCCGCACACGTGAGTAAAATGACTCATGCGTCATTTTACTTGAGTAAAATAACTCACGTGTGCGGCGGGCATTACGTTCCACCTTGTTTACTTTCGCCGCCTTTCTCAACGATGCAATATAGTGCCTTATATAATATCAATCAGCTTTTTAGTGAGAGAGAGAGGGAGGAGTATGCTCACTGCGTTCGTGTAGGGAAACCACAGCTCACTGCGAACCTCCAGCTGGGCTAGCGTCATCGCACGAAATGCCTCCAGCCGTCGCTGCAAGTCACTGTCGGCTGCTGCCAGGTGACGTTTAACAACCGAATAGACCTTCCTGTGGAGTGCGTGGGTAACGCAGCTGAAACGAACGAAGTTCAGACTACTGACATACCTTGTCGCGTGCACGATATAGAATCGATCAAACATTTGCATGTGTACCATCTGTTGGATGGCTGGCACTAGGTGTGTGTCATATGGCTTTGTTTTGCAGACAAATAACACTGTGGGAGATTTTAACGAATTCACAGTGTCCAACTTCTGCTGTGGACTTCCTGTGTACATTTAAGAGGCTAGACCTGCAAATATCTACCTCTCAATTGCTGCTTCTAACGCCTTCACATCGGGTCCTTCTGCATATTCTGGATTTCGGTGCAAATAATCCTAAGTGAGGAAGAAGAACATCGAGTCAGAAACACGTATCTCTTGTTATTAATTAGCACTTTAAGTTGTCTGAGTCAGAGTCAGGCTCACACAAGACTCTGTAGATAAAAATGTTGTTTAATACCAAACCACCCAAACACCAAAATGAGATGAGTATTATGATTATCGCTGTCATATCACACTGTATTCTATGTCACATTACTATATCGGGTAATCTATCACGACAGCAAGCCACTTTACCTGGTGAAGACACGCAACTATCCTGACTCACAGCAGCAACACACTGTCTTACCAGTCACCTCCTACCCCATCTTGTCTCATATATCGCACCTGCGCACAGTTGGCGCAGATCTGGCGCACTTTACGTGCCGCGTCGTCGAGATACGCCTCCAGAACCATGTACGTGTCACTGAAGCTCTGCGCTTGTGCGTCCAAGCTTCTCAGCAGGCGTTCCGCTGCAGGCAGCCTAGCCAGAAACTCCCGGCAGCTGTTATAATGATATTCAGAAAAGGTGCATTGCCAATATCACCAACTTTATGCAGGGAACATTCCATCAGCAGGAATGGAATGTACGTAGTAATTCGTTTTTCTTTGTTAGGTCCATGCATATATATATATATATATATGTATATGTATACGCAGGGGCGTACCTACCTATACGCAAAGTATGCAAATGCGTACTAAACTTTTTCAGAATAAAAAAAGAAAGAAAGATTTTTTTACTAAAACAAAATAATGCAACGTTTAGTTGGGATTACAGAATTATGCGTGTGATAAGAATAATGACTACAGTCATTATGCCAGATGGTCGGAAGGATTTCAGTAAAAATAACAACTTTGACAATTTTGAGTGCAATTTTGTGTACCATCAAAAATGTCTGGGTACGCCCCTGATATGTATTGAAATTTTGTAGGAGGCATTTGCCTCCTATTGCCTAATGATAGCTACGGCCCTGAATTTGTGCGTAGATTTCCTACTGCGTCGCACACGAATCGTTTGCTGTGATGAATGCCAATGAGGTTCGCGCTCGTAGTTGCTGTGGCGGTGGTAGCAATGCTCGAGTAGTTCCATGTATGCTTACAACTTACAGGCAAGCACGTCGAGTGCTAGTACGGGCGTGCACTCCCGCGCCAGTAGTAGCTCGACCACTAAGGGGCGACCTAGCATTACCGACGATACGGAAGCGCACAACACGACTTCTAGGTATGCATGCGTCGACTTCTGATATAATGTGTCTGCTTGGTATTGTGTTTGTGAGGCATGTTACTATCCCGTTGTGGTGCAGCGTTGAATCCATGTAGAGCCATGTTGCATGTATAGTTACTAAACTGTAAAGCACGTCGTTTTTAATTAATTTATACCAACTTTGCAAAGTTTCAGTAGTGCTATTCGTCACCTATGTTGGAGCTAGTAATGGTGAACACTTTGAACCACGGCGAATAAGTTTCACTTTGAACGCGACGTAGTGCTGTTACTTAATCGAACTGTCATTGTATTTCTAGCATCTCTGAGAAGAGAGCCATAACCAATGGCAAGGAAAGTGCGAGTAGCGACACTCACGAACTTGTGTTCTGATAGGCCGGCTGACATCTCGATGCTGATTGGCTGATGTGATGATGTGAATAGACTTGTCTGGCACAGTGGCGCGTGTTCACGTGCTGTTGGCTGCGAATATTAGATGGTGATCGCGGCCAGTGGCTGTGCACCGTGGACCACGGTGGTACATCAAGAGCAGGATCCACACCAAGCAAGTGTAGTCATGGTGACAGCAAGTTGCAATAATGTAAACAAATTTTGAAATTGTGAATCAAAATTTTTAATGTCTATTATCTACGCCGTGCTGGCTGTTATGTTGATTCCGTGGACCCACACCCCGTAGTATCAACCCAGCTTCTCAGTTTCTCTGTCTAAATGAACATTTAAGTAAAATAAAAAAACATTAAATTAATGTCCTTATACTTGATAGTGTAGAATAAATCAGTTAGTATAATTGATCATATATTTGATTGGGTCAAAATAGTACGCACAAGTCGCCTATGTAAAATGTTAAACGAGCTGCTGGGAAAGTCGTCCCAATTGTGATCAAAGCAGTTGGACTTTGGTAGATATATCAGAGCTTCACTCCATTTGCACTGCCAGCGCAGTCACGTGACTTCTACAGCCAATCACGTCATTCTATTTATAACTGGTTCTATCGCTTCCCGGAGCGAATGTGCCATGCACCTGGTACAGCTTTACCTGTGTACCACAGCCATTGCCATTGCCATTGCCATAGACAAATGTGTTATTATAACTACCCAGGATATAGATGTTTACTTGAGCCACAGTGCCGATGTGGGAGGCCTCTGACACGATTATATCTACGGTGCGAATTGTTATTTAAAAATAATTACTAAGATATACGTGTATAATACGATTATTAATCTGCTCCCTTCTAAACTAGATGTTGATCTATTGACAAGGAATCGTCGCGCGTAATTCAGTGTTTAGGGTATATACACTGTTGATAACACGTGGTGCAATATGTAGTCGTTAGTGCCACCACCCTACGGCACCTACGCGTAGCTATCTCCTCGCCTCCTTCACATGTTTTTGTGTGTGTAAATATTCACGGCTGCGTTCCATCGCAACACAAGTAATTCGATACCGACCGGGTAACGTATGTCGCTGATGCATTGAATTTTATTTGAAGTCGAGTCAAGGTCACTAAGATTTCTTCCTACATAGTCATACTCGATCTTCACTGCCGACGTTTTCGAGTGCGACAAACTTTTGATTTTCACCGGACACAAGCAAAGTCGGCTGATTGCGGTGATCGCCAGAAACAGATCGTAAATTACAATGAAAATTACAATGTTGAACTTGCAATGAACTGTAATGTCAAAATATTTATTATAGCCTACATGTATGGCACGTGTATCTATGATCCGTATATGGGGTTTTGAAATGTTGACGTAGGAATACGTGTTGCCGAATGGACAGAGTGTGATCACCTGCTGAAGGCTGCAGGCTAGGTTGGTTTCAGCTGGTAATACGGAGAGACAGGTTACAGTAGTCTGTACAGTATTAACGACTTAACAATGGTTGACGAATAGAGGTTGGTTATCTTATGGGACAGGCGTAGTGGATCCTTGGCCACAGCTGTTTTATCTTTGCCGATAGCAGCGATGGATCTGTGGGTTTATGTATATTTTCTTTCACTCTCTCACCGAATCATTCCATTTTAAACCGTTCGAGGATTGTTACTATGTTATATGTGCTATGTACGATGTAGATCCTAAGAGGAGAAGAGAAAATAGAAAATTTTAAACTCACAAACAGCCTTGTTATGCCTGTGTGTTTATATATACATTTATGGATTTATTCAGTTGGTTATTTATTTATATATAAATAATACATGTAATAGTGATAGTAAACTTTGTGAAAAACTATTCTGTGTAAATAATGATTTCTGTACCCTGCTAGAACTTTGGAAGGAAAATGTAAAGTATGGAAAATGACAACACACAATCACTAGCTACATGAGAGAAAATTCCCCATTCACTACCATGACATCATCTGCATAAGTAACTTTCTATTCAGGACAGCTACCCAAGGTCATGTCTGTGTCCCATAGGTCGATCCCAAACTATTTTCCTGGAGTGACGTCAGGAAATCTCTGAAAGCCGAAATAAAATCACAATAAATATTACAAGCAGCAAACTGCATGTACAAGCACCTGATTACAGCACCTGCAAATCTTCTCTAACAAATTCCTGAGACATGTCCACGAGGGAGCAACAATGAAATGACCACACACCATCACCCATACCCAGGTTCCTTGGTTGAAGGCAGAGGATCTGGAAAGATTAATAGTACAGCCAGGCCTGGAACAGAGATACCAACAGTATGGAGCTTGATGATGAGGATGATTGCATCCAACGACTCGAGCGAGTTTATAGATATTGTCGGCAATGGGTGTTCGCGTCTCATACGATGGCGTAAAGCGAGTCACTGAGATGTGGTCATGCTATGCAATGAGGTGAGATATTCCATCTGCAAGCTCATACCACCTGTGATAGAAACCTTTTTCGTCGCATTTTAAAATATTTTTTTAATATTTTTTTTTTACTTGTTTATTGCAGAACAGAACATTTCAGTTCAACTCATTATTTTTTTTGGTAGTCATTATTATTTACTTATTTTAGTTATGATTATTTATTCATAATTATTTATCGGAGTATGTGTGGCAATTGCCCGAAAAACTGGTAAAGGTGACCTTGATCCGCTTCGTTAATTAAGCACCGAAATCATCTGGATTAAAAAGGCAGGCTGGCGAGATACCACCCATCCTCCGCGGTCTGCCCAGTTATGCTACTCCCTCCGATGCTATCCTCGGGAGACTATCTCATCACCATCCGCCCACGGGGCCCGTCGGGCCGCGGACTAGCTATGGCGGACACATTGCGTGTCTGTACTTAGATTATTCAAGAGGAGGTCAAAATAGATGCGGAGGAAACGCCTCCCATCGTCTCCAAATCTGCCAAGCCGCTTCTCTGGATTCGATGCGCGAGACAAGTACCCTCTACATTCTCTACCAATGCTGGACCCACAGGGGACGCCAGCAAAGGAGGGTTACCTCATCTATTAAAACTACTTAATAAGACGAGTAAGTATGGGATGCAGTACCTATGAAAACTGGGATGTCTGGTATTCTTGTGAAGCTAGAGGAGGACTGCATAGGATATTGGTGCAAGCAAATAGTGATAACTCTTCGTTCCCCTCAAAAGGCAGAGGGCCAAGTAAGAATACTATAATGCAGTGGTAACCCTGGCCAAAAAGGCTGTTGAGGTGGTAATTTTGTGTTGTTGGTGTGTCGGAGTTTTCGAGGGTGCGCTAGCAAAGCGATATTTTGGGGCCCGCTCCCGGGCCGCCTCAGGAATTTGTTGTTGGAAAGAAAGTTGGTGGTCAGATTTGGTGGCATTTCTTAGAGGTATACTGTGCGCATGTTTAGGTTCGAATAGATAGTCGGTATTGTATTGATGGAAGAACAGTGATTTTCGTCAGCGAGGCGGTGTTTTGGACAAATTTCTGTGGGGCGGCTGAGAATTTGATCGAGGCGGCCCGCCTCGCTCGGTCAATGCAGGGGAAACACTGCTATGATTGTAATGATCTGACTACTCATGTACCTCACGTAACAAGGCTTATGTGAGATAACCATAATAAAGATGAACTTACCCAAGACCATTTTCTTGAACATCCTGGCTTTTGTTCAGATCTATCACATCTGGGCTAGTGACTAGTGGCGCTACAACTTGTTCTAAACGATAAGAACAATATACTTTTCTATGACCAGTAATAACAATGCAGCTGAACCAAATTCATCTATTTATTTATTTGCTCAGTCATTTTTCTTCAACTAGACATGCTAGAGGTTCCAATCAATGCAACGCATTGTTCTCCAAGTTCCAAATCGCCAAGTTCATTCTAATACAATTAATGCTTAC